TACACTTATTACTGGTCGGGCCGCAGTGATGGCCACCATCTCCAGCAGACTCCAGCCCTCGGTAGTAGAGGTTACTCCTGTTGATGAGCGTATAATGGTATTGAGATTGAAGCTATCTTTTGGCTTCATGTCCCTTATTGCTGTGTACGCTCCTACCGATGTTTGTAAACTTGACGTAAAAGAGATGTTCTACACCAAACTTACATCTGTGGTAGACAGATGTCCCCAACGAGATATTCGCATTGTTCTGGGCGACGTCAATGCGGTATCTGGCTGTGATCGAGCTGGCTATGAGATGTCTGTCGGTCCCCATGGTTCAGGAGCTGATGCCGGTAGTGAGAATAGCCTCCTTTTCCGGGACTTTGCTAGGTCCCAGAAATTGAGGATTTCTGGCTCCTGGTACCAGCACCCAGACCCACATCGCTGGACATGGTACAGTGATGCGGGTAATGCTGCCAAGGAGATCGACCACATACTCGTTAGCACTCGTTGGAGGATCCTTCAGAATTGCAGGGTGTATAGGAGTGCTGAGTTCTGTGGTACTGACCATAGATTGGTTGTGGCTACCCTCCGGGTCCACTTCAAAACCCTAGGGTGTTTCATTTGGACAGGCTGAGGGAGGGGAGTGTGCCCGCGGGTTTGCTGAGGCAATCTCTGATCGTTTCGCAGTGCTTGGCAGTCTGACAGACCCTGTTCTTCTGTGGGATACCTTTAAGCGTGTAACGCTTGATGCAGCTCAAGATACGATTGGTGTACGCCTGAGAGCAGTACAGAATTCCATCTCGCAGGAAACACTGGAAGCCACAGATGCATGTCAAGCGGCTTGGCTGACAGGGGATTGGGGATTGCACCGTTCTCATGTGCGCAGAACTCGATCCCTGTTAAGAAGGGACAAGGAACAGTTTATTAGGAGTCTTGCAGAGGAGGTAGAAGGCCATTTCTTAGTAAATGACCTTCGTCCTGCATACCAAGCCCTGAGAAAGCTGAACTCCAAGCCCTCTTCACAGGTGACAGCAGTTCGCTCAGTAAGTGGTCAGATCGTTTCAGATCCTGTTGCGGTGCGGGGACGTTGGGCTGAGTATTTTGAGCAGCTGTACCAGGTTGACCCACCAGCAGTTAACTTGGATGCGAGTAGTGTCGAGATCCCGCTGCCGGATCCACCTATCAGTGAGGACCCTTCCTCCCTAACTGAAGTTAGGGGGGCGATTTCCAAGCTGAAGAATGGTAAAGCAGCTGGTATCTGCGGCATACCAGCTGAACTGTTAAAGGTTGGTGGTGAACCTATGGCATGGGGGTTACATGTTGTCCTGGCTGCCATCTGGCAGTCCGGTTCCGTTCCTCCTGACCTGTTGAGGGGTGTGGTCATCCCTCTCTGGAAGGGGAAGGGGGACTGTTGGGACTGCAGCAATCACCGAGGCATCACACTGCTCAGTATACCAGGCAAGGTTCTCGCCCACATCCTTCTGAGACGTATCAGAGACTATCTACTGAGGCACCAGAGACTGGAGCAATCCGGATTCACTCCTGGTAAGTCCACAATAGACCGTATCCTCGCACTTCGAGTCATTGTAGAGCGCCGCCGTGAGTTCGGGCGTGGGCTGCTTGCAGCCTACATCGACCTCAAGAAGGCATTCAATACGGTGCATCGGGAGTCACTTTGGGAGATCCTGAGGCTGAGAGGAATACCAACAAGGATTATTGGACTAATAGCAAGCCTGTATACTGGTACTGAAAGTGCTGTTAAGTGTGGTGGGGGCCTGTCGAGCTTCTTTCCTGTTAGTTCAGGAGTGAGGCAAGGCTGTGTCCTTGCACCAACTCTTTTCAACACTTGCATGGACTGGATACTGGGCAGAGCTACTGTTCAAAGTCATTGTGGGGCAACGCTGGGCAATATCAAGGTTACAGACCTTGACTTTGCTGATGACGTTGCCATTCTGAGTCTTTGGAAACCTTAGTGGCGGCTCTCGATGCATTTAGCAATGAAGCGAAACCCCTGGGTCTAGAGGTCTCCTGGACCAAGACCAAGGTCCAGGAATTTGGGGACTTGTTAGGAGAACCTGTTCAGCCGGTACGTGCTTGCGGCGAGGACATTGAAGTCACAGAGAGCTTTACATACCTTGGTAGTCATAACTCTGGGCTGTCAAACCATGAAGTCAGCAGACGGATTGGCCTGGCAGCAGGGGTCATGAACTCTCTCAACAAGAGTATTTGGAGATGTCGGTACCTGTGCAGAAGGACCAAGCTACGGGTTTTCAAGGCCCTGATAAAGCCAGTTTTGCTATACGGTAGCGAAACCTGGACATTGTCCTGTGCCTTGGAGGCTTGTCTTGAAGCCTTTTGTAATAGGTCCTTGCGCCAGATCATGGGGTACTGTTGGCGGGACCATGTGTTCAACCAACGGTTGCACCGTGAGACTGGCACAGGACCTGTTATCTGCACAATCCGTGATCGCCAACTCAGGCTATACGGCCACCTGGCTCGCTTTCCTCAGGATGATCCTGCCCATCAGGTCGTCTCTATTCGAGACAACCCTGGGTGGAGGAGGCCTGTGGGACGACCTAAGAGGTCGTGGCTTGGGCAGATCGACCAAACCTGCCGTGAAGAATTAGAGATGGGCCGAGTCCCTGCCTGGCGTCTAGCCATGAGGGATCCTCGTAGGTGGAAGCGAAGGGTGGATGCGGCTATGCGCCCCCGTCGGTGTCAGCCCCCTTGATGATGATGATGAAAATACGTGTTGGTGTGTCATGTGGTCATGTGTGATCATGTCTAGTTATGGTTAGTTCTACTATGGTCCCTCGTGCAACCGTGCATAATATCCGGGTCCATACTTTGTACGTCTGCTAGTACGTCTCCCATGCATAGGTTCCCTACCCGCATGCTCAGAACTAACATTCCTCCCATGAGTTTCATTCATTCCATCATTCATTCTGCTTTCGCCCTCAGCGTTATTTGCAGAAGCATTGTTGGAATCTGTATTGTTTGTGATATCCATTCTCATCTTACAACAATTATTGGCTTTTCCTGGAATAGACTCTTTATTGAATTCATCCTCTACAATTACATCCGGTCCCTCATCCTCTTCCCATGAAGGTTGAGCTTCCGTCCTTTGCATCGTTTCGGCTCCATCGCCAACTGGTCTAGGATAATTCATAAGGTACTCCATTTCCCGTTCGTCTTCTTCCTCCTGATTGCCTTCAGGGATGATAGACTCCTCGTCTGGTCTCATCTCTGGATATGATCTCCTAGCTCCTGGAGCTAGTGCTCTTCATATTTTCCAAATGGACTTCTCTAAACTCCCTAGTTTGCAAGTCTCTTAACTGATAGATATATATATATATATATATATATATATATATATATATATATATATAGATATTAACAATAATTATAATTATAATGATATCAACAACAATATAGTAGTAATAACCTTAATAAAATTATCATTTCTATTATTAGTAGTAATAAAGTTATTATCATTAATTCTGTTATTAGTAGTAGTATGAAAATCATTAGGATATTGTTAATAATTGCTATTATTGCAATTACTATCAAAATTATCATTATGATTATCATTTTTATTATCATTATTATTGTCATTATCATCATTATTGTCAATACTTATTGGATTATCATCAAAATTATCCTAATTGACAGAACTATTGCTAAAATCATCATAATTATCATTTAGAATCGAAAAAGTTTTTTTCGACTATTCGCGGGATTTTGCCGCATTTTTGACTTTTGAGAACTTATTACTTTTAACCTATTTTTTTATCATAAATGTCCTCTTTGATTGTTATTATCATTAGTACCATTATTATCATTATTGTCATTATTTTGATGACAATAAAAGGATGATAATTAACAGAATTATTGGTAAAATCAACATAATTATCATTCATAATCGAAAAGGCTTTTTTCGACTATTCTCTCAAAAGGTAATTCAATCGATTTTGCCGTTTTTTCGAATTCATTACTTTTAGCCTATTTTTTTTTTAAATCATAACTGTCCTCTTTAATTATTATTATTATCACCATTATTGTCATTATTTAAATGATTATTATGATTATAGTAATTATCGCCATAATCATCCTTATTGTTATGATTATTGAAGTTATTATAAATATTTATTATCCTAATTATTAGTCATTTTCATTATAACTATTTGTGTAGTGATATTAACAATAATGATGATTACAGTAATAATAACAACAATAAACATTATAGCAATAACAAAGAATTTTGATTTGGACGTTGGTATGAAATCGTGTCTCGCAATATTTGCAAGAGTTACGAGAGATTCTTGGATTTCTTGAACAACGGTGTCAGATAGTGTTGATTAACAATGTATCTTGTTCTGGACTAGGCTTCAGAAGATCATTAGTGTTGACAATTTTTCACAGGACTTCATATAACCGATACTGACGATTTTAGTATCCATTCCTCTAACCCTCTAGTACACACATATAGGAATTATGTCGCGGAACCCCCTAACTCCCACATCCTTGGCCATAATAGCAAGGGAAGGCATAAAAGGTAAACAATAATATAATAGCATAAAGGAGATAATACCTCACTGTACCCCACATCGAGGAAAACCAAAGAATTCTCAACGTATTTACGGCAGGGTCGAGTATACGATTTCCATGAAGGGCGGACACGGCAATATATGACCTAGGCATTGATTGACAGATCCCGCTGAGCTGGAAGGGTGACTCATGCTCCATCTTGCAGTATATACGTAGTGGATTCTGTCTTTCAGACTGGTGTTGGGGAGCGGCAGCACACCAGGGGCTAGGCGGGGCGCAGAGGGCAGCGCCCCCTATGCCCCCCCCCCTGACTGTGACATTAATTGTGTATTACTATAGTTAAGCATTTACTATATTCAATTCAATTCCCTGGTACCTCTCATACCCTGTCCTACTGTCGAGGCTGGAATTGTTGCTAATGAGGGGGGGGGGCGCGGCATAATTTAAATATACTTGGATAGTGGAGAGAGAGATGATTCCGTCGATACCAGAATCGTCGCGCTCTGTTACGCCAAGATATTCTGAAAAATACCATATAGACTTTATGAGTCCGCGTAGATTTTAAAGGTGAAAACGATCGAGAGATGTATAGCGTCTTGAAAGTAACTCTCTAAATTGCGCGTTTCAATTCTTTGTTGTAGGGATCATACGATCTCTGATAGGCATGAGGGTGTTTGTGTGCGTTTATTATTGATGATTCTGGTTTTCGAAGTGTACTTTATGAATATGAATATATAGATTCATATAAGAGAAACAAATGAGTGCACTTGAGGCCTATCGTTATTGCCTAAAACATTAACATACTATCTCAGAAAAGAACCATTGACTTGGTTTTCAATGTTGTTTGTTGAAGAGCCAAAGACAAGCGGGGGAATGAGCGTGAAGCACAAATTTCTCTGAAATTCATTTGCCATTAATATGTTTGACTAATGTACGACATATTTCGGATACATACAACGTTTTCTAACATATGACTTTGGCTTTGTTAATTATTAAGCAGTTCTTAAAGCAAAAAGTGGTTGGCGTCGGTTGATTCTTGGACAGAGCCCGAAGTTGATGCGATACTGAAGAGGAATCTAAAGGCTAAGGAACCCTTAAAAAGACAGTGAAGCTTTCTACAGCTTGTGTTCATTCATTCAATTAGTTACTTCCCAAATAAAGGTAAGTCTTATCACCGATACAATATAAAACATTCTCAAAATTCTTTCGCGTCTTTAATTACAATTTTACTTTTATTATTTTGCTAAAGAAGCATGAAACGTAGTAGATGTTACTTACTCTGGTATTTTTTTACAATATTTCCCTTTAACGGATCGTGACGATTTCGGTACCTTTGGATTCATGTCGCTGCCTACATTGCAAATATGTAGATATACTGCAGAAACCCTCCAAACCCCTCCATTAGCCAGGTTGAAAAACATGCAAATGCTGGCAGTGGTGCAGATCTTCAATACTTTTGAGTCACAGTATGAACATTTTTCACATTTGCACCCACTTTTTTTTCTTGCAGATATCTGAATTCCAACATACCTAATACAACAAAACAAAACAAAGTCCATCCATATTTAAAAACAAATATGAATAACACTCACTCATCCATATTTAAAAGCAAATATGAATAAAAATCACCCAACCATATTCAAAAACAAATATGAATAACACTCACTGACTTATTATAATTGCAGATTATTGTTATTGTATCTTCTATTGCAAATATTGGTATTTCACAACTACATTTGGTATAGGTAAAATGTATTAGACGTAAAATAATATATGTAAACGATAGAGCGAGTGATTCTAAGAAGCTTATCTTCTATGAACTTTACTGCAACTCAATAATTACAAAGTTATTTTACATGCAAGTGTCTGTGAGCCCATTATGAAATCTCAGTATTATAAAAATTGCCATCCGATATCCTTTCCTTCCTTTTGTAAACAAAACAATGATGCTGTTTCATTTTTTTATATTTATTCTAATCATCAAGGTTTGTGCGTAGATAAAGCCCGCACGATGGCGTTTTTTTTTTTTTTTTTTTTTTTCCTTTTCCTTTCTTCTACCCCTTTCAATCTTGGGGACCCATGGAGAATTGGGGGTTGAAGGGGAGGGAAACACACACACGGGAGAAATAGTGGAATCAAAATTGAAAATTTTGAGAAAAAAAATGCAGTAGAGGTTGAAGAGACTGACATGCATAGATAGAGCAAAATGGACAATGCTATCTTATAGAGTGGGAGAAATAGAATGGGATAGAACATACTATAAGAAGCATATGCATTATGTTTACCTTTAAATGGAAAAAACACGGCGCTGTGTGCCTCGCAGAGACAGAGTCCATAACAACCTTCCGCAGCCGGATATCCTTGTTTATGTTTACATTTACAATGAAATCGTTTTCTGCATGTGTCTCATTTTCTGTAAATGCATTTTCTATGAAGGTCACGTTTTTTGTGCACCACTTTCAACCAACGTGGAATCATTACCAATTACGATTTTTTTGATATATTATTTTATCTTATTTCTACTAACATTTCCTCTATTCCTTTTATGCTTTTACATTTGATTCGTTATTCAATGTTATGTAGTTATTTTACAATTTGTATTTTCGTTATCATAACCTTGATTGATTGTTAACAGTCTAACAACGTTAGATTAATTGGCTCCAATGTTGGAACAATACACAATATTTATTACGCACACACTTACCTATAAGCCACTGGCATGGCAGGAGGTAGCAATTTCTGTGTGCAATGTGACAAGGGGTAAGTTTAAATATTTTAAAAGATATTAAATATTTGTCTTATCAAATTACAAATAATATTTTGGTGTCGCTTTTATCATAATGGGTAAATGATTTTTTAACAATAATTATTTCATGCTATATGCTGGCACTTTTGGGAAAGATATGGCGGCCAGCCTTCCATCTTGCTCTTTGCAGGTTGAATGACCTCATTTTGGGGGCCATGAAATGCTCGAAATGCGACGACGAATACCGCCATGATGAAATGAATTCATTCAGGTGTGACAACCCCCCCCCCCCAAAAAAAAAAGATGCAATTTCAAAAAATCACTTTTTAAGAACACCTGGTTTGATAACAGCAAGCTTGATTCTGAAACTAATTAAAAATTTGTCAATCTGTATGTGAGAGAGAGGTTTTCCTATAAATCTGCATGGTGTGAGTTTAATTTCCCAAACAGGACCATTTACGACTGGGGAGATTGATGAATCTAAATTTGGAAAACATAAATATAAAGTAGGTCGAGTAATAGAAGGTCAGTGGGTTTTTGGAGGAGTATGCTGCAAGAGTAGGGATTTTTCCCTTGTAGCCGTGGAGACGCGCGACTCTCTTTTTGCTTAAGGGGCCCGTCGGAATGAAAATTTTCAAAAATACTTGAAATTAAAAAAAAAAAATCTCCTCTAACCTAGTGGGCTTTGGCAATCTCGTGAAGCAATATTTTTGCTAAATATGTAAAATTAAAAGAGTTATGACTAAATATCTGACCCACCCCCCCTCCGATGTTTACATTGTCTGGTCTGTGAAAATTTACTCGATAATGTTTATTTTTATTTTTTATATATATATATATTTATTTACTTATTTATTATTTTATTATTATTATTTTTTTTTTTTTTTTCCGAATTCTCAGGTAGCTAGCTGGCAACTCTGTTTACCCATCAGCTGATCGCCAAGCCTGGAGTTCTGGGAGACAAACCTCCACTAGAAAATCAGAGAAAAAGGTTGTCAGCTCCTACCTCCATAACACCCTGTTGCAGAGTAGGCCCATATAACAAAGTAAGGGGACAATACTAACTGTAGATGTTATTCTATTATTTAATAACCGTAATATAATCAGAAATACGTCCCAAATGGAGGGGGGGAAGGGGGTTAAATTGAGTTAGCTAGCATATAGTATAGGTACATGGATGAGGAAACTACCAAACGAGTATTAAGCGCCTGCTATGGCTCGTTGTCTTGCAGCTGACGCGCGAGTCCCTCAGCACCCGGAGAGGAACATCGCTAATGAGCGCCCAGGTACACCTATGTGGACTTTTGCTTGTGGCATTCGTACATACAGCATTTAATTATGACATTGTGCATAGATATGAATTCGTGAATGTTCAAGGAACACTTTTATATCAATATCAGGAAAAAATTATATCACTGTGATTTATGACGAAATATGCTTCGATCGAGACTCCCTGGTTGTATGTTTTAGTTTACGAGGTAATATCACATACGAAGCACTAATGTTTAAAAATAGCCATATAAGGAAGGATTGAAATATTTACGTTACATTTCGCTCAACAGTTGGTACATCACAGCAGGGAGCAATTTGAATTGATTTGAAATTGGTAGTTACCGTTGTAAAGACCAATTAAATACGAATGTCACCTAAATGTCAGATTTTTAAACTTCTTTTAAACAGATTATTTCATGTTGAAGATGATAGTACTCGGTAATACCTGTTCTGAAATAAAAACTATAGGGAATTTTGAGCTCGGTTGTATGCGTAGTCTTTGTCTGGCGTTCAAAAAGCTATCGCAACTGTTTCGTGCGTTCCCGATGAAAATGAAAATGTTTAGACATTACTGTAAGTCTTAGGCACCATAAATTGGCAAATATCCCACAACACCTAGGCGTCTGCATGATTTTATGCATTTCTTATTAAAGATAATGGGTGCAAATGGCTAATCATAAACTCTACACTTGTTTTCCTTTGCAATCTGTTAATATTGACAATTATCAAAGAAAATGATATGAGAGGGATAACTAATATATTTTGTTATTTAGATATGTAAGTCAATGTAGGCCTACTAAATGATTATGATTACTCTTTTTAACTTTATGTGCGTGCGTTCATGTACATATGATCCTCCTCGAAAATTATAAACACCCTGTGACCCCCCCTCCGTGTGAGGCATGGAACTTTTTTAAGTTCTCAAATTCAATGTACTAAATTCATATGCTTTTAAAATTCTCAAAATTGAACCACCATGTTGTATTCATGCCAGGACCTTATAATTAGAATGATTTTGTACTAATGTTGCCATCCACAGTTCCCCATTTCTTCAAAAGATAAAAAAAAAAAAAAAAAGTTTTTTATCTGGCTATAGGCTATGGTTGATCTAACAAGTATTTTTGGGGAAATATTCAGTAAAGAACTGTGATAATTGGGATGTACCGAAGACCAGCAAAAAAAAAAAAATATTTTTTTTCCCTGACTTTTTGGAGGGTGCCCCTCCCCCCCTATGGGGTAGCAAGGTTAAAATTTATATATATAACAAAGTGCAATTCTATACTCTATATCATGCAAAAGGAATCAATCAGTTATCTCTAACCAATATTTTTTTATGATGTAAAGAGTATGGAAAGGTGGCCATTTTCCGGGACGGTCCCCTTAATCACAACTGCAATAGTTTTTATACATTTAAATACCTCATGTGGCCAGGTTAAGTACTGGAAAACCTGTGTTGACAGGCAGTAATTCCACAATTATGTGCAGTTATTACCATTAGTACTTTGCAAAAGGAGGGGACAGTGTACCAGCTACACTTCAGAATACCATGTGAATGCAATAGAATGCAGCAAGATTGCCACAGAGATTAGAATCCTAAAAAAACAAAACAAAAAGAAAAAAATATCAAGGGAAATCCAAAATTTTGGAGCCCATTATCTCAAAACTACACTTTTGTCAACATTGTCAGCATTTTAAAAATTCATCCATAAATACTTGGGCGATTCTAATGGGGTTTGGATCGTTTAGAAGCTGAATATATTTGTGATGGTTTTCTTAGAGAAACTTTTCATTTTAGGTAATAGTAGTATATATATGATATCGTAATGTTTATAAGACTGGGCATTTAGAAAAGAATAAATTCCCACTAATCTAAAACAAAATGTAAAACTCTGGTCTTTCAAATTTTAGGTATTGCTATAGACTATAGGTGGTAATTTTTTCAACAAATTTGTTCAATGGATAAATACCATTTTTAAGAGGCTGTGATTGTTCAAAAACTTGTTTTTCGTTAATAACTTTATTATTTATTAGCCAAATGATACGAAACTTGGTGGTGTTTATCACTTAATATTTATGTATAACATATTAAGAAATCATGAATATCCGATCATAGCTGACGAACTTTGTTCTCGAGCGCAACGGCCCCCTTAACATCATTAACCCGTAGCCGACGGGTGGCATGTACGTACATGCCATGGCTGTTGTGGACCAAAAAACAGATGGCATTGTATCATGCCCATTCCTGCGCCACTTGCTCATCGGATGGAGTTGTTTTGGATGGAGTTTGCTTATCTCCGATAGTAGCAGATTTATTTATATGATAAAGATTTTATGCAATGGCACCTATAATGAAGGTAAACCTTGTAAATTATAATATTTTTATAAATTATAGCAAAATAAAAGCTTTTAGGTGCCAAATGTCGCTCCCAGACTACAGATCGAGCAGGGCGCAAACAGGGGAAACTATCGATGCGCACCAGCAATCCCATTGTTGAAGTGCACCACTTCGGCAGGAGGACATACCACTTCGCTGGGTACTTGGCCATGGCCATTTTTCAATTGAAGTACCCGGCGGAGAACAAAAGATTCCACCAATTCCTCCTCACCGCAGCTCGTCTGTACCCTCCACACAGACAGTATCTGTTAAATGTATTGATAATTTGATTTGGTAATAATTTGACATTGTGCTAATAAGGGGGGGGGGGAATTATTTTGATATGTTATGTTTCAGTATTTATGTTCGTATGATAACGAAAATTTGTGTTATATTGTTCAAAACTCTTTTGTGTATCGGATATTTAGTTCGTACGCATTACGTTTTGCACTTGTTTACTTTGGGGGTATTTATTTGTCCATCAGACAAAGTTTGGCTCGTCTTTCTGATTATATGGTTATTTTTGTTTTTGAAAGAAAAAGGTTGGCTCATCTTTAAGAAAAAGTTTGACATTATAGTTACATTCTCTATCCCACCCTCGGTTTGGAACTTTATGAAATCCAATATATCCATTACCCCCACCCCCTTCCCCCTCCCTTTGGAATTTAGCCTCTGGGTGCGTCGCAGTCTCCAACAATTATCAAAAATGCAAAATCTGAACAAGAGTCTGGCACCGCTGCAAGATGCGCCGGAGTCAGTGTTGCCGAAATCCTGATGTAATTTCTTAACCTAACCTAACCTGGACCCCCTTCCCTAGGGTATTTCCTTAACCCTTTCCTGAGGGGTATTTCACCGTACAAATGAGGCATACCTTCCAGACCCCCTTCTCTGGGGGTATTTCCCTACTAGGGGCAAGCCCCCATACCCCCTTTCCTAGGGGTATATCGCCTTACATAAATGCGTTGTCTATTGCATAAACCATAATTGAATCAATGTAAAATCGTTGCACACGTGAAAAAATCGGACTAAAACAGCGCAGCGTCAAAATGGCAGCCACTACATTAAAGAAAGAGACACTCAAAAGTATAAAAATTCCACTTTGCTTAATATGTGAAGTAAAACTAATTCACTGTTCATTTAAACAAATATTTTTAACTTACCCCATGTCACACTGCGCACAAAAATTGCTGAATCCATCCATATTAAGAGCTTACCAGAAAGTGTTCAAGTAATGAACGTTGTGTATTCTAACAGGGGAGGCAGTTAATATAAAGAGGCAATGATGTTACATTGTAACAACAGTTAATCAAGGCTATGATAACAAAATTATTAATCATAAAATATCTGCATTACATAGAATAATACGTATAATGTATAAGCTTGAAAGAAATAGAGGAAATGTTAGTGTAATATGATTAGATAATGGATTAAATAATTAGTAATCGGCAATGTTTCTACACTGGTTGAAAGTAGTGCACAGAAAATGTGACCTTCATAGAAAATGTAGTTATAGAAAATGAATTAACAGAAAATGAGTTTATAGAAAATGTAGACACATGGGGGGGGGCTGCTGCCCCCTCACCCCCTGCCTGGTCTACAAAATCTTCTTGCCTGGCGGCTTGGGGTTAAACAAAACCTCTGGTTGCTTGCCGCTTGCTGTCTACAGTTCCTTGCATGCAGGTCTATTACTTTGATGAAAAACTATTGCTGTTGCTCTCATTATAAATTTTCTTTGCTTAAACTTGCAGCCCATACATTGCCATTGCTCCCTCCAGACGTATTTGCGAATTTTTTTTTTTTAACTGGGCCCATTAGCGTCTTAACTTGGTACTGATAGAAGGAGGGGGCATGTGACTTACAATGGAAATTGCAGACTAAGATATGAATAATCTACCTAGAGGCAGTGACTATATTATCTTGTGCAGGTCAACCCCTGCCTAGAATAATTAATTGGACAGACTTGGCAGCGCTGTTCTTGCTTGGCGATTTTAAGCTCTCCCCCGCTGTGAATATGTGGAGGATTCTTTGTTTTTCTGGACAGGGGTAAGGGGCAGCAGCAAAGATTTATTGGCCAATGCAGGGGGCTGATATCCTCCAACTCCTGCAATGGAACACAAATCCATGTATTAACAGCAAGAGAACATGTATGACCGACATGCGGGAGCGCCTCATGCCGAATGTGAATGATGTTCAGGTAATATTGTGACTGACTCTGTGTATATTATTTATAGTTTAACCCACAGTGTCCTGTGTACCTTTCGTGTCCTTTCCAGCTATTGGGGACAAGAGTGTGGGGTTTTAAGGTGTTTCCAGGAAAAAATTTACTTGAAAATGAGAGGAATCCATCGATACCAAAATCATTGTGATCACGTGTTATGATCCACTGTTTTGAAAAATTAC